ACATTCTCGCTTTGAAAGAAGAACGCGTTTGTTATTGATGCTGACTGTTGGCAAGCTAATGAAAAATATGTAAACATTATGAATTTCCTCGTTTGGCCCTACTGAAAACTTTTGCGCTGCAATCCACAAGTATTTTCAGATTCATCATTAAAATTCGCGTGAACCTACGTACGTGTTCAGCAAACTTTTGAACGGTACGAATGTCATTCGCTTCGCTCGGGTAGATTTCAGGAGGCACTTGTCCTGGGAACTAAATTTTTTCCTTTTACCAGCTCTGCCAGGGACGATTTTATATTTGCGCAATAAACGTGAAGGTAAACCCGAAATTAGATAAGAATTAGATACCATTCTTAAAAGCAGACCGCTTTTAACGGCCCGGGGGACATTCCGATTAACAGGCGTTTCACACCACCCGAAAACTCTTGAGATGAACCTGATTCTATCGATAACTTCGACACATGCCGACCGGAGCGAAAACACGCGGGGCTCGATACACCGGGCATCCCTCGTGACGTCTTCTACAGTGCTGTGCTTTGTGGAGACACAGCGTCCACACTTTTCCAAATTCGTTCACATTCTGCGTTGTTGACAGTAAACAAAAATGACGCCAATATTTGAGCGTTATTTTTTGTAAGTTGATGTTTTCCAACTTCACTGCAGACATCATTCCGAATACGCAGAGAGTACTGAAACTTAAGAACCGTTAAAACGGTGTATAAAATGTATTGTATTGACAACATAACCGGATACGATGTCTGGTAGTTTATTTTATTGACTCGAAGTGAATTATTTGAGCCCCTCCCCGCCTCCCTCCCCACACCCACTAATTGTGATAACGGTGCATTGGTTTGGCTGAGTCGATCACTAAACACGTTCACATTCAGTGTCCGACCCTCGTGAACATTCAAAGCTGTAAAACAAACAGTTTGTTTGCAAGTGATTCCTGGTGAGCGTGATATCTGTTTGGCCCCCTCCGCAATTTTTATAATGAAAATTAAAAATAGGTATCTAATCAGATACTACTGATAGTAAAAATGACCAATAACTAACTACTACTTTCCACAACTTTTATACGCTTGTTCGAAGTTACCACGTGGTGATGTGCTTGATTTTCAGCACCGCTCCGAGCGACGGAGCTATCCCCGGATGTCGGGGTATTTCAAATCAAACCTTCATCTATCATACAGTGGTGTGATAGATATATATTCGGAGGACGATTTCAATGATTATTGCCTGACTAGCTACGAACAAAACTTAAATGGTGGCATATTTGATGAAGCATTTGACAAAAAATACCACGTGACAATGACACTCGCACACCGGCTCGACATAGAGACAGGTTCAAAAGCGAGACGTAAGCCGAACCTCCGGGACAAGTTTCGTATTGGATGAGTGTTTTTTTGTTTATTTTGTATTTGTTTTTACGCAGTTTGAATGTTTTGGTCATTTTAGTATTGTTTGGATATAGTATGTTGATTACAAATTGTTTGCAAGCTACGGTTACCAAAATATGAAAATAGGCATATATTATGAGATCTTTACCCAAAGTAAATTTCCATGTGCCCGAGCTCGAGAAAGAAGTTATGCGTAAATTCTGGTAGGCTGCAAACAAAAATGCACACAAATCTTATAAAGAAGGTTTCGAAATTTGAATGTGCCAACCCAGACCGTTGAACTGCATTAATATTAATAATTAATATGCTTTCACCCTTTTGATGACATAATTTGTTCCAGCCAAAATGCTGGTGCCACATTTTTACGTATTTTTTTTTATTTTGTTAATTGTCGACTTGGTGGCCATAATTTCCTACTACTACAGGTCTTGGCGATCTGTAAATGATATACTAGTATTTTGTGTAAGGCGACCAATGTTGACATTGACTTTAAAAGGGTTATTAACTGCGTCACTTATTCTTGAAGTAATACATGCTCGAAAATGTGCACTGAACCTGAGTGTATCACCCAAATACTAGTTACTTTATCGTAAAACGTATATGTATATTGCCTAAGAAGATCAAAGTTCCAGATAGCAGTCGTTATGGAATAGCTGGCGTACGAGGTTTTGATTTTCTAAAAAAAAAAAAAGCATCGCCGACTACTATTTCGTCGACTTAAAGTGAAGTGTCAAATTTAAAAAGTCTAAATACTTGGGAGAAAAAGGATCATCTTAATAGTAAAAGGATTGTAATGAATAAGCAAGCGTTTTGTCACGTCCCGACAAGACAGTCACGTGTTGTGTTTATACCATTCTTTGATAAATAATATTTCGTATTCGTATCCGTCTTTATTAGATCAGCCCGCCCTTCACATTTGTTTTTCTGACACCGACATACTTCCCAAACAAGTATTCGTATTCCGCCACCAGTTCGGGTCGTGCCATAGTGAAAAAAAGTGGGTCTGACATACAGTAGCCAGGGGTGCCTGTCTGGGTATTTTATAATAAGCACCGTCACAAGCTTTTAAAAAGAAAACTCTTGTGTCAGCGATATTAAAGTGGGTGCATTGTCTGTCGGTGTTGTTCTTTTGATGGCGTAGCATTCCGATTAAAGATGTCTAAACTCAGTAAAATGGGTCAAACCAAAACATCAATGAATCGCATTGCACATGTCGAAAAATATGAAACAAAAATACCCATAAAATACTGGGCCAATTTGAATTACAAATCGGATAAAAAGATTTTAAATTTCCCAATAAAATTACGCAGTCAAATATATACAAAATGTATAATTTTCGCATGACGTCACATTGCTGTCGACTTTATCAACCTCAACGGCGGGTAATGTTCCCAGGGATTATGATATGATGATGCCGGAAATAATGGGTTTAAGGAAACAGATTCAATTTGGGAGATAATCCTGCGATATCATCAAACCGCTCATCATTCGTTATAGCGTGCAAAAAAACAAGTTTCCCGAGCTCTGAATCGTACTCTGTAGAAGTAAAATGTTTTTCTTCAAGTTCTGGGTAAAACGTGAACAAATATATTTTTAAATATTGGCCAAAGTATTTTGCCAAAAATTGACATTTTTAGGACAGTTTTCATAAAATAAAATGATAGAGACAACATTATTTGATTTTTTGAGTTACCGTACTCACTTTCAAAACAAATATTTTGAAAACAATTCAAGACAAGAACGAAATCCCTACTAAGTCATGGTATGCTTTAGCCGATGTGACTACGAAAAACGATGAGATAGGAGGAGATTTGTGCACCATGGCAACCAATGATAAATATTTATGTATTTATGAAATGACAAACATTTCTTTAACAAATAGTTCGGTGACCCCAAATGTTTTCATGCCAAAATACTTATATTGGCATAGGATACTACATGATAATAAAATTTAGGACTTGTTCTTTTTCATTCATGATTATGTTTCTACCTCACCACGTGGATGGACGACGGTATCTAAAAATCGTTTTTATTTCTACCTCCTACAAAGACACTGGGGTTTTTTGTAGCGTCTCTTTGTCGCGATGTTAAATTAAAATGCAGTGTTTTAGTGCACGTTCATAAAGCTGTGATGACATCACCATATTGTTCTAATGGTCACTTTCGTTGTCTTGTTTCTTAATGAACCCTATATTTGCCTTTGTTTTTCGAGGGGCGTGTAAGTTGTCTTCGCACCAAAGTGTCGAAAATGCAGTCGGAACTATTAAATTTAGTGTGTTCGTCCGGAAATTGCGGATTACTAGATTTAATGATATGGGATGTGAATTCGCTTTGACTGGATGCAAGTCGAAATTGAGACTGGACATACTGGGGTGGGGTTGTCTTTACAAACAGTGAGTTGAAAATTATATACCGCTGTTCTCGGGTTATGTGAACAAACAGCACGAGGTTGCCAACTACTTGAACAATACCAGACGCAGATAAGACCAAGTGGGCTGCACCGGTGTCAAAAGTGCTAGTCAAAATGGTATTGTTGCTCGAATCCAGACAATACTACTACTCGGCAATGCCGCGTTTGAGATTGACTCCCAGAAAAAATATGCTAATACCTAACCAAACATACAACCGTATTTCGACAAAATAAAAATTGTAGAAAAGTTAGTTTGAGTAGGTGTAATACCTGTTCATGGTCTCAGGTATTAATACCCCATCGTGAGTTAAGTGGTCACTCAATAGTCTCTTCATTCGCTGTATATACATAGGTGATCGCGCCAAAAAGTGTGCTGCATCTACGTTAATTGGATCGGTTGAGAGCCGGTAAAGACCAGGCAAACAAGGTCGAAGAAAAGAAGGGACACTAATAGGCCCTTCACTGACATTCTGTGCCTTGTTTGCTAAAAAGGCGAATTGAAAGAAAACCCAATCTGGGCTGGCCGCACAATAAATTGCCTTTTGTAAAGTCGAATTTCATTGTATCCTACGACTCTAAGTTGATGCAATTAAGAAAGCCATACCATGTCACCTCGATTCCGGTGAGATCGAGATTAAATTCAATAAGGATTACGCTCACTTGGCGTTATACAAAGCTGATGTTTTCATCTAAAGTCGAGTGGATGATATCCACGGCTGGCACCATGTTTTCAACCAGTTATTGCAGAAATCTAAAAATCGTTCAAGGTAGAAAGTTTCATATTAAAGTAACCATGTCATCATTTGCTCCGTCTTGCATCGAAATACATTGTATTCCATTTTTTTTATTTGTTACTTCAAGTTTTATCTTCATGTTTATTCTTTTTAAGCTCACACGTACAATTTTCTTGTAAGTGACGCCTTGGAACCGAATTGCAATTATATTTCGTGTACACCCAATAATATCGGTACAGATACATTGTAGACAGGATAAATTGCCTTTTCAGTATCATTGAACAAGTATCGGTTCACCGCTTCTACAGAAGCTATTCCAAAACAAAATATTATAACTCTATGCCGGACTTCCCAAAAACTCTTTGGTCAACGAAATACGCCTCGCTTTCAAAATCGATTCAGATCACACCGCATCAACACACATGATCATTGCAAAGAAATTCATCCGCCATATTCAAAAATAGTCCACATCAAATTTATTGCTTCCATGTTAATTATTAGGTGATTAACTCAAAATAATCAACTTCAAAAGCTAACAAAAACTTAACGCTAAATTTTGCTTACTGAAAAAGCGAAGTGATTGGTGGGTACTTTCTACTACGAACTTGGCCCCATTGAATTAATATACACAAATATGTACGCTGTAATTGGGACTGTTCTGTCGTCAAATAGTGGCTTAAAATCGAACCATTTTCGGATTAAGATAACCTGATTGCTTGATGGAAATGCAGAGCCCTAACTTGAAATCAGAGTAAAGTTGATACACAACAAGAAAACCGCGAACACATTTCGGGTAAAAGTAAAAGCTGAACCGTAATACGAGTCAACAAAAATATGTCAGAACTCCAATGTCTTAAAGCTTCACTGAAAACGAAATTGAAATGAAAATGAAATCACTTCGCGAGTTCTTCGTCATGCAGAAAAAGTGGATTGTGTTCGGTTTTAAACTCAGCATCGGTGGCTTTTCTGCTCAAAATATCATTAGAGTTTGTATAAAAAAAAAGTCACCCAGCTTCTGACAAGTTCAACATAAGGGTGTACATACAATATTAAATAAGTGCACTAAATATTTATAAAGTCTATGAATCTATGGTCACTGCGTTGTCGATGATTTCATGTCGTTCGGCGTGTCAGCTGTCACGGGGGTTGGTGTACATATGCTGCCGGGTGTGGAAGGAGGAACGCTTGGTGGGCCGCTTTGGCTGTTTTCAGTGTCACTACCGCTGCTACTTCCACTACGTTTCCCACCGCTTGGGCTGTTGTGTGTTTTGACGTGTTTGCTGAGATGGTCACTCCGCATGAATCGTTTGTTGCAGACTGGGCAAGCGAAGCGTTTCTCCCCGGTATGCGTACGCAAGTGCCGCTGAAGTTCGTCCGAGCGAGTAAAACGCTTACCGCAGAATAACCAATTGCAGACGAATGGTCTCTCTCCGGTGTGCCATCGGAGATGCGCTTTTAAGTGCGACGTCTTTCCGTAAACTTTACCACATCCGGGGATGTGACAACTATGAATGTTCTTTTTCGGGATACATTTTCCAGCAGCGGCAAGTCGTTCGTTCTCGTGGCAGTTCGGACAATCGCACGTCGCTCTGCCGGTATAGCGACGGGTGGCCCGGGAAGCTGCCGAAAGTCCCGTTAATCCTGGCTGTGTCATTAACGGCCCGCTCATATTGGGTATGCTCATTACGTCACAGTGCGATGGCAGCATGGATTTAAAACTGTCCTGTAGTAGCGACGGTGTCGGTAAAAACTGAGCGGCTGGGTTACTGCTCAGTGCTGGGTGCGTAGATAAGGTATAGTCCGTGCTGTAGTTTGGAAGCTGTGAGTGTAAAGTCGTGCTCACGTTTTGTACAGGGTCCAACCAATTGGGGTTTGCGTGCATATCCCACCAGGTGCCTCCTGTCGACGCTACGTCTCCTGACAGCCCGGGATGAGGACTTGGTTTGAACCAGGCTGTTGGTTCATAATGGTGGCCGACATGGGCACCCATTCGTTGATACATACTCGACATCGAGAAACTGTCGGACATGCTCCCGTGCATTTTTTGTATAATAGATGGTTGTACGGAGAGATCGGCCTGGGAGTTCCTCATCTGCGACGAGACGTTCGGCAGGAACAAGTCTCCCGTATTGTAGCTCATTTGGTTGGAAGCCGACTGCGCTAAGGAGTACGAAGAAATTCCGGCAGCTGAGAAGCTGGGTTCAGTAGTGAGTCCTCCCAGTCTTGGGTTGACAATCCCTCCGGCACTGGTAACGATCGGAGACGTCTTCTTCCAAGGATGGAACCCCTTTCCGATTGCTGCGTCCGCTAGGGGCGGTGGGCTGCGGTTACCAATCTTATTACAAGTTGCGGCAAGCATAGCGAGTGGAGTGGACCCGGGCCTTGGCTGCTCCTACGGAGAAATGAGCAAGAAATCATTAGTATGGAATAACATTATAAAGGAATAAATTCAAGATTTAAGAGCCAATCACAACGGTGCACGAAAAGTTTAAGTTATAAAAAAAAATTATACGGTCTTGTTTTTCTTAACAGCGAACACAATGCCAACCTTCGGCGTTTAACTGATGTCAGTATGAGTGAGATGAGTCCCCTTAAACACATACGATGCACCCGACACTCTCAACTCACGATAAAAGAACTTGTAATAGCCGGGCAATTTGAACAACTCGGAGGAGAAATTGAACATAATTGTCTTACAACGAACGCGTACTGAAACTACCAGCTCGTAAAGTTCCCTTTCTGCTTTCTTGTTTCTCTCCGTCTTGACTCTGAGCTTTTATAGATTACTTTTAATGCCACTGCCCCTTTCGATCAATGAAAGGGTCCCAGTATACAAAGGTTTTCCTTTATATGGGGACGTTTTTTATATCACGCTATAAAAATCAGAGGGAATATCGTTATCTGTACACTGCGCATTGTTTAACGCCACCAATTTCGGCCCAGACAAAGGCTGGGTAGCCATCCTTCACTGTGTCTCTGTTGAGATATATGTAGATGAGGTCAGATTTCTTGACCTATGGGTAGTCCACAATGCCAATAAGGGCTGCCGTTACCCCAGCATACCAATTTTCCGTTAGCTTTGACGGATCAGAATGCCCACGAAATACTGTAGTGCCCCGGTTGTCTCGCCGGTCAAGTCCAAGTTTCATGCGCGTAGTAGACGACTTGCATTTATGGGTGGATTCAATGATTCCCCCGCCTTTAACACCCGCCCCTCTGTCAGTATTCACTTTGTTGTTTGACGATTCGTGAATGATCATGATCGTTTTTGAGTCGCTTCATATGTTGTGATTGGAACGCACAGTTTTGATTTAAAATATAACCGAAAATAAGATGCTTTTTTTCTTTAAATATTGAAGTATTTTGTTCACCGAGTATTTAAAAAGTCGGTCAGTCATATACCCACATCTTGCTACTTAAAGCAAGTTCACTTATGGGAGAATACGCAATCAGCCAAGTTTTGTTCGTTTTGTTCGAGTTTGCATGAATACTAAGAATGATTTTAGAAGTACTATCACTCGAAAAGGTTGAAATAAATTGGATGAGGCAGCCATGTTATTAGTACTTAACCACAAGAATGGAAAAACAAATGTATGTTGACATGAGAAAAGAACCCCTCCCCAACAACAGAAAAGCTGAAATTAATATCGCTGTATTTTGACAATACATATTAAACTGAAAGATGCGCTGTATGATCATTGTCAATCAAAACAAGTACGCTGGTCGAAAAAAACATTGTGACAGTCACAATATATATAAACCCGTGATGGATCGATCGATACATACGTCGATAGGGGATATGATTGAAATGGAATAACTGGACATCGAGGGAACCGCTTGTGGATTTTTGGTTGTGACGGTCTCCGTTGCACAGAAAAGAAAATATGCGGTCGTTAGGGTGTACGGGGCAAGTCAACAGGATTCGGTAACTGGGTGCGCAGTGTACCGTAAAAGGGTACGACCATGTGCAATCGGACGGTGGATGATAACGTTTTAATTATGCAACGTTCCAACATTGTAAGTTTCATTGATTGTTGTTTTAACGCGCCTCACTGAATTTAGATGTAGCTGCGTTTAACCCACAAACTA